TTTAGAAAAATCATTTTAACTACTACTATAAATTATGTAGACGAGAGAAAAAAATTAGAATAACCCATTTGTTATTGAATAAATTGATTGAAGAGATGCTTAACATTCATTCAATTAGCTCAATTTGATATAACAATCGTAGAAAATCAATAAAAATGAAAATTTCCCAATAAATTCTTCAAAAAGTGCTCTTTTTGTAATGACAGTGATTTTAGCTTATGCTTCTTAAACAATTTATTCAGGACTTTCTTATAAATTTTATTTAATAGTTTCTTAATTTTATTGTTTATCTACTTCAGGAGATCCTTTAGAGGCTTTAATTGATGGTTATTATTCTTTTGAAATTACTTTAATAAAATGTTCAGATAATTTTATGTATTCAAAGTTAACAAAATAATTATGTTAAACTGCCTACCAACCAGAATTTATTTTAGGATTTTCAATATAAAGTATTTACTAAATCTTCTCCTCTTCTTCATTTATATCTATTTAATCAGCATCCCATAAAGCATCAATAGAATCTTCGTCTTAAAATTAAAGAATTAGATTAGGAAAATCTTACTTTTAAAATATACTCTCCAAATGTCCTAAATTATGCTAATCATGATACAATAGACTTATTGTTTATACTTAAATTAATTTAAGACAATTTGCTAAATATTATAATGCGATTTCATCATAACAATCAATAAAATGGAATTAAATATTTTACATTTTTTTATATCTTGTTAAGAATGTAATGATATAAACCATACATACATTCTTTTCATAAGTACTTAATTTACTTGAGTCTATATGAAAATAAAAAGACTTAATAAATCCAATTTATTTTTAATCAGCTTTCAATAGTTGTTTAGTTTCTTTAAAGTATTTTAATTTTATTTTCTTTAATTTAAATTATAGTTCTGTTTGCATAAATCTAGAAGTTGTGGTTAACACAACAAATTACAATTCCAAGAGGTAATAGATTAAATTGCCAATTAATATGATATAGCTCACAATATTGTATCCATCCCATCTAGACAAGTATGAATTGAAAAAACCTTAAATAAAAAGTTAAGGTGCTGTTTAAAGGCACAAGGTAATAATCATGGATAGAACGGATAATCTGTGGAAAATCAATTCTCTAAATATATTTACAGGCTTTGTTCTCTTTTTTAAGAGTCTTAATGGATTTCTAAATTTATCTTCCCCATCTAATATCAAATATTTATTAATTTCACTAAATGAGAATTCTTTCAAGGATTAATTTCTGTTGAAATAATAAATGAATGGTGAAATCTTAAAATAACTTAAGACTCCTAAAGCAGAGTAGAAAAGATAATAGGGCAAGTTCAAAAATATATTTTTTTTAACAATTTATCTTAATTTGAATGAGTACATCCAAGATAAACTATGAGAGAAGATAGTTAATAAGATAGAAGTAATGTAGCACGTTAAAAAAATCCCAAGATCTTAATTATGAATTGAGTAGCCTAGTGTAAAAAAGATTTCAAGAAGATTTAAGATATAAATAAAAACTTGAAGTCCTATTTTTGCATAATATTTGTTAATATTTGGTCTTATCTTAAAATTAATTCAATTACTTTTACCTAAACTTCTTTGAACCGTGATTCTATAAACTCTAAAAATTCACTGTACAATTATTTCTCTTAGTGATGATCCCATGATAGAATAGGATCAGGCTTCTTCTTGAAACAACTTAATTTTGAAGATTAAGGATTTATTCTGCTATTTATTTATATCTTTTTTTCTTCGTTAATAAGACTTACTATGTCTGGATTTGGATGATTTGATAAAGTTACAGCCTAATTTAGAACATTAATATTTACAGCTATATGTACATCTCCTATCAAAGGTGGAATTTTAAGAGAGGTATTCTAGGTCTATGATTTTGGATGAGACTCTTTTTAGGATTCTTTTTTTGCTGACTTCATGGTATATGGCTGTTATTGAGTAGATGAAGTTGATGGCTTCTGTGAAATCTTTTACTATTGATTGATCTGTGATTTTGGATACATATATTTTATTAATTAAAATAAAAAGTAATAGATGAATAAAATCTTTTATAATTAAATTTGAAATTTAATATAGCTACTATTTTAGGTCTTATAAATATTGAGATTTGTTAATATTTATATGATGATTCGATAATTTGTAATTAATAGATTTATGAAAATAGTACTGATCACTCTCAAATGATGGATTTGATATTTTATTGAGGCTAAGCTAGATAACAGAAATCCTTACATTGTTTTTGGCTTACTCCTCATTTCTCTAAGCGTATCAGAAATGATTTATTATCATATTTTAGAGCCTTATTAACAAAATGAATCGATTAAGAATCAAATGAGGACGGCATGCTCTTAATTCTATAAATAAATTAGATTTAAATTAACAATATTTTTAATTAATGTTACATAAACATATTATATTATATATTAAACTTAATATAGAACAATCAAATATATTTTAGATTATGAAAGACTTGAAATTTAATCCCTTTTTTTACTTTTGAAAAATATCTACAATAAAGTATAAAATATCTTCAGAATCTTCAAAATCTCTAAAAACTAGACGTCTTTAACTATCAAGCTGAATTTCAAAAGTCTATATAAATAATGAGTAATCTAATACTAAATAACTTATATATTTTTAGAAATTATTCCAAAGAAGCATATTGTTACTCATATAACTTTTGATGGATAATAATATCTGATTGAATCCTTAAAAGGAAATCTAACAAACATAAGTTTGTTCCGTCCTTTATTATTTTTAGTCTAATTTTTCTTAATAATCATTATTGATGATCTAATGAAGTTAAACTTTGGAAGATGCTTGTTATATAAAAATATATTATCTAGTTATATATTAATTTATGGAAAAAAAATAGTTTCTAAAAATAGTTTAAATATATTCTAAGTTAGGAAGTTAGTACTAAAATTAAAGTAATCTTTTTATTTTTGTATATTTGATCCAATAAAGATATAATCTTTTAATTATTAAGTTGAGGTATTCATTTTTGATTGATATGATTAAAGATTTACATAAATAGCTTCAAATTAATAGAGTATTACTATCATATTGTTTAAAAGAATAGTAAACCTAAATGAAATATGAATTTCAAAATTTTTTTTTTAGAGAAATACATAAATAGAGCTAACTAAATTTTACTGATTTAATTTTTATATATCTGCTCTTATTTTTTTTATATAATACTTTTGATTAATTATAGAGTATTTAATTAAGCATCTTTATAATAATTGTAATTTACAAGACAGAAGGCACTAGACAACAATTCAACTTAGTTGTGATTTAAAATCAGTCTGAGAAACAATAAATGATAAAATTTTAAATTTGATCAATCTTATGCTTATTTATTATTCCGAGCATTACTTTTTTCTCTTGTTTAAGTTGAAACATAAAATTTAAATATTATTCCTTTCATTATTGATAATAGTTTATTACTTTTGTATTATTTAAATTATTATTTTGATTTGTCATTTTATTTATATAGAATTCTAATTAGTTTAAAGTATTTTAATTTAAGCACCTTTGGTTGATGTATATACCAATTAAAAGCCCTTAAATATTATAATTAATTAAACATCGATTAATCTTTAAAAAAATAAAATCTTCAACTTCATGTAAATAGATCATTAATAATTGTTAAATCAATATAAATAACAGAAGAAAATCAATAAATGTAAAAGAATAACAATATACAGAATATGATCTTTTGAAATTTTACATATTAATTTGATTATTATATATTAATAAATTAAGATAATCATTAATCATTCTAAAATAATCTTATAGAATCAAAATGGTATCATATTATCTCTTCTTTTATATTGAATTTTAACACTTTTTAACCGATTGTTCTTATAAATTGGAATTAATATGTAATTAAATTTACAATAATAATCATTTTTATAAAAATATTAATCTTTTTATTCTCAATTATACCCATTTTAATAAGTTTTATAATACAACAATCCACCAAGATTTAGTATTTTGTAAATAAAAACCTAATTATTATATATATAGACTATTAATAATTATTATATATAATTATTTATTTTTAATAATAACTTTATTTTTACTATTAGCAATTTTGACTTTATAAAGTAAGCAGTCTTCAATCTTAATTTTATATCAAACTGAATTTATTTTGTACTGAATCCAAAATTTAAATAGAAACATAGAAAGTGTTTTAATCAAAATAAAAGTAATTGAAGGAAGTTATTAAATCTTAAATTGAGCTCTTTACCTTTAAATTATTCTAAATTTAAATTCAATATTATTATATGGAACTGTATTTTATTTGATGCATAACTAAATTTATACCATAACAACTCTATATAAATAAATGAAACTAATTTTATGTATTACTCGAATTTTAAAAGAATCATTAGTCATTTTAAAGTTTTACATATAATATGAAAATAAATTATTACAAGATTAAAATATAGTTTAATAAATAGGAAATTCAATATGTATTTATTAATTGAAATACTTACTAACCAAAGTTATGATTTGTGACTATTTTTAATGATTAAATAAAAAAGTAATAGAAATAAGAGAACCAAAAAGAATATTTTTTCTGATTTTAGTTATATTTTATAATATAAATAATCTATGATAAATACATGTAATAATTATTAAAAATAACATAATTATTATTATAATGTTGAATAATTTATGCTTTTTGTAAACATATTATTCTTATAGTTCAATTTTTTGCCTAAATTTCAGTTTAATAACATAGATCATTAGCAAAAAGTTAAAGACAATATTTATTAAAATTGATTAATTACTTGTATTATTCTTGATTCTCAATGAGCCATCTATGTTATAATTTCTATAAAAACAAATAGATGATAATATAATGTCAATTATAGGAGCTGAATTCAAAAACAGCTTATATATTATCATTAAGAATTTTAATTTTTTTATAAGTAGAAGACTTATGGAGATTTAATTACATTAGATTTTGGATGATTGGTTTGAATATATGGATTAGAATGTACAGAAAATATCAAATCCGAAAATATTAGAAAATTAATAGGATTCCGATTAAGGTGAAATATTTTTCAAGAAAAGATAATCTTGATATGTAATTAATTAATTATAGTAGAAATAGCCAAGATTCTTGTTGTTGATCAACCATATAATAAAGAACTGAAGGTTTTAGGCACCGTGATGAAAATTATCTAAAAATTAAAATAGCTAGATATTAACAGTGTTTAAAGCCATCTAATGATTTAGGAACATCAGATTGATTGAAATCAGCTAGAAGTTTTGATACTAATTGTATAAGAACTTTAGGAATGATCATGTAATTGGATCAGATGGATAAATGGGCAGATGCTTTAAATTATTCCTTAATTAAGCTTACTAATTATAATAATGATTGGGGGGAATATTAATGACATGAAAAAAGGATATACAGAAGAAACACCATATTTGAGGAACGAAAAGTCAATTAGGTTTTTTTATGAATAAATTAAGTAATACTGCAAACAATGGTGTTAACCTTTGTTATAAATACTTCAAATATGAATTTATTTAACATTTCAAGAAGGTATTTCAAATGATCAGAGAAACAATAATTAATTTGGTTTAAAATTCATAATTCAGCCGATTTAGATTATAAAAAGTTGGCCAAATATAAATCTTCATGTCTTAAATTTAACAAAATTTTGATTCTGAATGAATGAATTATAAAATAATAAGAATATTAGGTATTAGATTAAATAATACAAATAATAATCCACTTTTAAGAGTGAAAATGAAGTGTATAAATTTTTCAATTTCTGTCAATATGACAACAACAAGTAGACATAGTTTATTAGATAATTTAAATAATAAACAATAATATCTAATATATTAATCTTTAATCAAAAATAAAGAATGAAGAAAGTTATGATAGTTAGAGTTAAGGAAATATTAAAAAATAATCAGCAATTAATAAGATTGTAATTTTTTGAAAGTATCTATACCTTAATAGTTTTTTAGATCCTTATTGATTAAAAATTTACTTAGAAATAAAGAGTAGAGATCAAATAATGTTTGATAATATGTTTAAGGAGTAGTTTGAATTAATTGAATGATTTAGATTCTGAATTATGAGATTATTTAATAATAAAATTAATTGAAATTCGTTAAAAAACACATATATAATAATTAATCTTTTAATTAATTTTTTTATTTGTTAAATGCTCAATCCAGACTTAATCTAAGAATTTGAAATAAATGGATACAATCTACCTAAGATTGATAAAGTATAATGTATCAATCAAATAAAATAATTGATTTAAACTCATCCTTTAGATTTTGACTTTATTATTGCCAATACGAAACTAACAACCAATTAGATGAATATATTGTAATAAAAGTCACAAATTTCATTAATCCTTGATCCTTAAAATCATTATAACATTTCCTGTCCAGTTTTTGATTTCAAAAAATTGTAGGAAATACTTCCAAATAAGAATAGAAATAAATTAAATGAAATTAAGTCTAAAGTAGAAACTCTATTAAATAGTAGTCATATAGATCCACCATAAACAATAAAGAAAAGGTATAAATTAATATTAATTAGATGGTGGACAGAAGATGAAGATCAACAACTTTAAGATTTAGTGTCTTAATATGGTGCTAAAAATTGGAAGAAAATAGCATCTTTTTTTTAAGATAGAACAGATGTATAATGTTTACATCGTTGGCAAAAAGTTCTAAATCCTGATTTAGTAAAAGGTCCTTGGACTCAAGAAGAGGATGAACTTTTAGTTACTTTAGTTGTTGGATATGGACCTAAGAATTGGAGTTAAATAGCTAAACATTTACCAGGGAGGATTGGGAAGTAATGTAGAGAAAGGTAAACTTAAATTATTAAAAAAGATTTCATAATCATTTAGATCCAAAGATCAATAAGGAAAGATGGACTGATGAAGAAGATTAAACTATCATAGAGGCTCATAAAAAATTAGGAAATCGTTGGTCTTTGATAGCTGGATTATTAAAAGGTAGAACTGATAATTCAATCAAAAACCATTGGAATAGCACTTTAAAGAGAAGACTTAAGATGTAAAACCGATGGGAAGACTTATAGGTTTTATAGAATCAAGATGACACATAAATTAAAGGAATTCCAAGAAGACATATGTAAAGAAAGATCATTTATCAAAAAACACCAGTGAAAATGATCAAACCTGATCCTGTATCTAGATAATTGAATTTTCTAACTCCATAATAATCTCCAACAAGTAAATAGATAAATTATAATTTAATTTAGAACTGGAGTAATTTTCAAAAAGTTTATTTATTGTATTTCCAAATTACAATATAAAGTTAATGAATTTATCAAGTGTAACTCTGATCAAATAATTGGGTGAATTGGTTAATTTTGATCTTGATTTCAATAAACAATATAGTTACGAATGAGTTATTATTCAATTAAATAAATTTCATAGCAGAATATAATCTATTTAACTAATAATGAATTAATTATTAGTCCTTTTTATTATCTATTTTATTTATAATATCAATTGATTTTCTACTGTTATCAGTAATATATTTCATAATATATGATTGTATTTATGGTAAATGATTTCTTTGATCATTTGGACAAGTCATACAAATTGTATTTATGGTAAATGATTTCTATGATCATTTGAACAAGTCATACAAGATTTAATTTAAATAAATGAATTTATGCAAATATGAAGAATTCTCATTATGCTCTTTCTCTTATGATAATTATAGACTGGTAAATACAAAAATGAGATCCTAGTTTATAGTAAGTATTTATTGAGATATAATATTAATATAACGAAAGAACTTATATCACTATAAATTAATAAAGAACCTAGTTTTGTATGTGCAACTCTTAGTAGGTTAAGTAATTTTTATTTGAAATTTAACACAACAATTTAATCAGTACTCTGATGTTAAGGTAATATTTAAATTTCTTCCAAGTTATTCAGATTATCAACAGTAAAGTTAATTCAAAATATCGAATGCATTAAATTGATGGCACATTATCTAGAAGTTTTAGATTTCAAAATTTGAAATAAAGAATATAAAATTAAATAAAAAACATTTTCAAAATCTAGGATAATATAGAATAATAAATAATATAATGATTGAAAAAATTGCTATAGCTTTATGTATCACAATAGTCACATCCATAACACTAAATCTTAATGAAATCTGTCAATGTTCTCAACTCATTCAAGAATATGATTGTATTAACTCTTCTATGGAATGCAGTTGGAATTTCTAATCTAAAGAATGTTAAGATATTCCTTGTTCAGAAATATTATTTTCCAGCTTTTGCATATAATAATCATAGAGATGTTATTGGGCTAATGGTCAATGTCAAAACTTTACCAATTGCTAGAGCCTTTTAGGATCAACTTAATCTATTTGTATTAATTAAAACATTTATTGTCCTGCTTCAAATGGCACAAATTGTTAATCTGTAGATTATCTCTAAACTTGTACATCTATTACTACATCTAATAATTGTAACTATTACTTTTCTGCTGCAGGAGTATGTATGTGGAATGGGCAAAGCTGTGTTTAAGCTACGTCTTGTTCTTAATTTTAGGGTAATTCTACTACATCTTGTAATTTTAGTGGATGTTAATTGAATTACTAAACAAAACAATGTCAACCAAAACTCTGCTCTCAATTAAATGGTGAAATTTAGTGCTCATAAGGAATATTAACATTTGGACCTTATTTAAACAATGTTATTGGATGTTATTGGAATTATGAATCATATACATGTGAAGAATTTTACCCATCATAAATGAATTATATGAATTGTTATGGTTCTAGTGCAGGAACCTATCATTGGAATAGTAAAAAAGAAAAAAAGGGAGACTGTGTTTCTTGCTATTAATAATTTTTGATTCTATCGATTATTATAACAATGTTATTTTGAATAATATTATAATGTTAACAAAGTAATGAAACATAAGAATAGATAATAATTATCTTTTTTAAATTATTAATAATTCTGATAATTCAAATTTCAAATACATACATTATAATAAAATAATTATCTATTAAATTAATAATATATTCTTTTTAATATCGGATTCAAAATACTTTTTAATTTTTTATGCAAATCTTATTGAAATCCTATTATATATATTTTACAATTACTTATTAAATAATTTAATTATAAAGATATATCTTTATATTTAGACTGATTATTTAACATTATTTTTAGTTGATTTAATTACTTTCTGATTATTAATAGTTAAGTAATTATAGATAATTGATAATTTTTCATTACTCATTCCAATAAAGTTTGAATTAAACTTTATATGGTTTAAAATATTATTAAATACAACCCTTTGAAGAGTATTATTTATTAAGAAGAAAAAAATACTATATGTATTGTTTAGATTTTTAATATGGATTAAGAATTACAATAAATTTTGATTATTTAAAATGAATTATTGAGATATATTTAATATTAATATTATAGAATTTTATGTCAAATCCATACTAATAATCAAATACTCAGTATCCTTAATAAAATTAACCATAATACCCCTAATAATATCCGTAATAGTACTCTTAGTAATATTCCTAACAATAGTAACCATATCCTTAATAATAATAACAATAATACCCACCATAATAATAATATTATCAACCCTAATAGCCAAATTACTCATATCAACAAGTTTAACCAACAATCCAAAAAGAAACTTATTATCAATAGACACAACCTCAAAATAATGTTAGCTCTCCTGTAGATGATTAATGTAATAAATAATTTTAAATTTAGAAAAAAATCCATTGTATGAATATGACCTTGGAGAATCATTTTTAGGAAATGTTGGATTCGATTAGAGAAAGAAATTTATTGTTAAGGTTTATAGTTTATTAACAATTCAATTATTTGTTACATTTGTTATGGTAGCTATAGCATGTTTCTCATAAGGATTTAGAGATCTATTAATTAATCCATCTAGTTATAATGCAACACCATTTTATTGGAGTATGTTTGCTGTATCATTTATAACAGAAATAGCTATTTTTTGTTGTAAAAAAGTAGCAAGAAAAGTACACAATATATAATATAAACAAAAAGGTTCCAAATAATTATATAGCTTTAACAATATTTACAATTAGTTTTTCATTTGTTGTAGCTGGTTCATGTGCAGTTTGTGAGGATGCTTTTACAAATGGTGGTACTTTGATTTTGATTGCTGCTCTTATGACATTTGCAGTAACTGCTTCATTAACAGTGTATGCATGTAGAACAAAAACAGATTTCACTATGGCAGGTATTAAATATTAATTATATTAATGATTAGGTGGTGCATTATTCATTATGTCTGCTATAATGTTTATCCTATTTATCTTTGCCTTTTTCTATTTTAGTATCATTTTATGGCTCTTATTATGTTCAGTATCAGTTGTCCTTTATGGTTTCTACTTAATTTATGATACTCAATTAATTATTGGAGGAAAGGTAACATTATTATAATTTAATTTAGTCTCATCAATTAAGTATTGATGATTACGTGATTGCAACAATGTTCATTTATATTGATATCATAATATTGTTCTTGAGAATATTACAAATTCTAATGATATTATTTGGAAAAAAATGAAATATCAATCAATACATCATTATTATTATTATTTTGTAATCTTCTCTCTATCTCTTTAATAATTATATATATATATTGTAAGTGATTTATTCTATAATTTATATATATTATAAAATTTATTATGTATATATATTAGTTTCTATCTTAATAATTAAATAATTTATTTAGAAAATTCCTTTTTTTCTTTTTATGATATTCACTTAAATTATCATTTAATTATAATTATAATTATAATAATTATAATAATTATGGATAATTAAAATTTTCTGTATTTATCATTAGGTGCTTATATTGGAGTAAGTTTTAGATTAGAAATTGTATCGATTGTCAGCAACTTTCTTACTGATTAATCTATACCTATAGATTTAATTGATAATTTCATTGGATCATTTGTTATTGGATTTTATAATGATAGATATAAAAATAAAGATTTCAGTTCTCATTTAGCTATCAGCACAGGATTTTGTGGATGTTTAACTACTTTTTCATCATGGATTATTGGAATCATTAATTTAGCTAATTAGGAATTATGGTTTAATAGTATGATTAATCTATTTATTGGAACTACAATTGCATATTCTGGATTCAAACTTGGTTAGAATGCTGAAACTGAATTCAAATTTCCATTTCATTCAAAATTAATATATTTAGCATTTCTTAAATTGATAATAGTTTAAGTATTATTTAAAAGATGGACTATGATAGTAACAGCATTATTATCACCTTTTGGAGCAATTCTTAGATATTATATAAGCAAATTGAATCATAAAGATTTTCCATTCGGTACTTTAATATGCAATTTAATTGCTGTTTGGATAGGTGAAGTACTCTTGATGTCTAAAATCAATTTTGATGATAATCATAAGAAGATTATAAATACTGTCTTAAAAGGATTTTGTGGTAGTCTATCAACAGTTTCTACATGGATTAAAGAAATTTGCACAATATAATCAATTGAAATACGATTTTGTTATTATTGGATTTCAATATTTTTGAGTGTTTATATTAGTTTAATTATATCTTAATATTTATATTGAAAATACATAATATTCTGTCATTATTAGTATAGATAAGATTATTATAATTTAACATAATTTAGATTATTATATAATTCTATTTTCTATTAAAATATTAATTATTTAATAGTCTTAAATTACACAAAATTTTGATGTAATTTCTATCAGTAAATATATTGATAATAACATTTAACCTATACCTATTATTTGTTGGATCAATTTTAGGGTTGATTTAATAATATAAACTTTATTATATAAATAATTATAATAATAAGTCTTCTTAAATTTCATTAGGCTAGTCAATTTAATTAATGAATAATGAATTCGATTATATAGAAGCTTATCACGCAGAACTTGAATATTATTAAATCATTTGTTTATATCCATTAATTAAAGAATACTACAAAGTTCATTATGATTTAACATGTGCTATAGCAAATATCATCAATTAAAATAGTGATATGTGTATATTTAAAATTTACAAAGAAACAAACAAAAAAATATAGTAATAATAATAACAAAACTAATAAAAATAACAATAATAATAAGAAATAAATGATAAAGATGATGATACAAAATGGTTTCTCTATCCAAAAGGGGAAACTAAATAAGAATAACCTATAAACAAATTCAATGTATTATAAAGTAATATGTATAATTTCAAAGAACAACTTTTTATACAATTTTCGATCTGTGATATTAATTTAAAAAATTAATATCTATATTAATGTCGAAAGATAATTGATTTTATTGAAACAATATAAAAGGATGTAATGATGAATAATCTTGACACTTAATATTTAGAAGAAGACATTCAAAGGTTTTGTGAAAATGATTTATAATAATGATGAATTTATAAATTATTATATGTAAAAATAAATATGCTATTTCAATACACCTTCTACTTAATGCACTGCAAGATCTCCAGAAAAAGACTATACAACATACTCTTTCTAAAAAGTGCTTTATTAATCTTAATTTTTAGTAGAACAATGATTAAAACTACAATAAATTTAGTGATAATAAAGGATAGATATAATAAATTATACCTCATGTATAAAAATAATAAACAGATCATCTAATTCCTTATTAAAACATAACTCCTTAAGATCAAAATCATTATTATTCTAATGATTCCTTATCAAATATTCATGATAATATAAAGTTAATCACATAATAATTTGAAGAAAAATCTAATGAATTGAAAATAGAATAATAAAAGCGTCTTGATATTGAGATTAAATTTGCATAATTACAATAAAACAATTAATTGTATATGAAATATCAATTAATGTAGATTACAAGAAGAATTGAGTAAATAGAAATAATTAAGTAAACAAATGGAAAATTTCAATAAGGAATTGGATAACAAATTCTAAATTCAATTTAACACTACTTAGAGCAACTCTTCATTATAGGATGAAAATATATTCAATATAATTAAGTAAAAAGAATAAGAAATATAAGAATTAAAATAATTATTAGCAAAGGAAAAAGATCAAGAATAAATTAAATAAGATAGATTATTGAAGGAATTTTAAATTATATTTTAAAAACAAAAAACATTAAATCAATAAATGTTATAAGAAAATATTTAATTATAAAAAGCACTTTATAATTAAACAATATCTTCAAAATCTAAATCCAAATTATTAGATGAATAATAACTTAGATAAATATTATAAAATTATTACACTATTAATAATGAAGAATGTTTATAATAAATACCTGTTGATTAATATCTATCAGCAATTAAAATACTAAAAGAAATTACTTTATCAGCAAACTCTAATTAGCAAAAGTAAATCCATCCATAAAAATAGAATAAGATTATAAATCAATCACATTTACAAGAATTAAAAGATAAATAAGAATAATTAATAGAAGAGATTAAAAAGTAAATGGAGATATTCATTTAATAAAAAGTAAATTATTTATCATTTATAAGAATACATAACAAAAGGACATAATTTAATTTAAAAAAGAAACTGATGAATTAAAAAGATAATTGGATTAAGTAGAAAATTTGATATAAGAGATGGAATAGAATCCAAAGTAACAACCTCTTAGAAATAGTAATGTTTCTTTTGAGAATTATAATTTTGAATGAATATATTAAATATAATTTTAATATTTTATAAGATCATTAATTACATTATATAAATAAAATTTTTAATAGCATTTTCTCATAAAAATTAAATTAAAATTATTAACATTAATTTCCACAATATGGAATTTTTAAATAATAAATTATATATTAGACAAAATTTGAACATAAGAATTTTCGAAATTAATTTGTCATTAAACAATTATTAATTATGCATTCAATATAAATTATCTTGATAATTAGTACAGCCTCCCTCATTAAATCAACCACTTTGGAATTAAACAATAGATGCAAATGTTCAGAATTGATTTATTCTTCTGATTGTTACAATGGCTTTTCTGATTGTTCTTGGAATACTCATAAAAATTAATGTGTTGACGTGGCCTGCTCTGATATCGAATGGTCAAATCATTGTATTTGGTCATCAAATAGATGTTATTGGCTCAATAAGTAATGCCATGATTTTACATCCTGTGAAGCCATTCCAGGAAAAGACCAATCTGAATGTATTGCAGCCAATGTCTACTGTCCTGCTTCAAATGGAATTAATTGTTTATCCATGTAATATCAATAAAAGTGTTCAGATATAAAGGATCCAGATACTTGTAATGAATATTACTCTCCACAAGGTAAGTGTATGTGGAAAGACTAGAATTGTATCATACTTTAATCATGTAATGAATTGTGGACAAATAAAACTAAATCTTGTTTGTTAAACTCTTGCTATTTTGATGCTCAAGCTTTCATGTGCAAAGATATGACATGTTCATATTATACTATGGAATCTTAATGTCAATTTGGAGCTCCAACACCAGGTCCATATTTAAATAATTTGATTCCATGTGAATGGAATACATAAACTGGATAGTGTTAAGAAGCAAATCCTGTTGATTTTAATGCTAATAACTGTTATAGTAATAGTGCAATGACATATCACTGGAGTAGTAGCAAGTCTAGTAAAGGAGGTTGTGTATCATGTAAAAGTTCTATATTATCTATTTTTATTGGATTAATGATGATGATTATTATGATTATGTGATAAAATACAATTATTTAACAGAATCTAAAATTCATTAATGAAGATTCTTTTAGAAAATATTAAAATCAATTAATTTATCTTAATATGATTCTAATTTAATTGATTAATGATTAATGAAAATTGCATTACAAAAATATCATGAATTTTAAAGATCAGTTGGTTTTATTCTATGAAAGTATTATAATTCTGAGCATTATTATAATATTTTTAAATATAATATGTTAAACGAATTAATCCAGCTATTTTGCAGTAATGGTACTCATTCTAGTGAGTTGCTTTATAATGCTACCTTACAATTGAATGAGTTCTTGGATAAGAAAGATGTAGTGAGATGCTTTCCAAGAGTGTCAGAGAATCTTGGAGATCAATTGGTATAAGATATTGATGGATAATTAATAGCCAAATCTGAGGAAGGCATCCCATTAGCTTTTCCAGGCATATATTCGTGTTAATGAGAGTTTTGATGCTGTCCTTTCAGCAATGCTTAGTAGAGGCCTTGTTCATCCGAATGTAAGATTATTTTAGTTATATAATATAAGTTTTTGGTAAGATAGAAGAATGTAAATTCATTACAATCGTTATTTTTATCAGAAGGATAGCATTTAGAGGCTGGAAGTGGGATGGTTAAGAATATGATTGAGATGTTGTTAGGGAAGTTGTGTGATTGTAACATAGCAGTTTGTAAGGCTACAGAATAGGTATGAATGTATAAATATTGATTAGACTTTGATAACATTAATAAGTTTGAATTAATATAAGTAATGTCATGCATAATTGCCAATGGGAATTCAATCTCAAGTAGAGCATTTTGTAGAGTAAATGAAAGAGACCAATTAAATAAGACAAGAGTTGAGATTAAGAGAGCCAATATCTAATGGATTGCCATTTGACAAGTTGGAAGACTTGAAAGATACTTAGTGGTAGATGAGAGCTGAAGCAATATAAAGAATATATGAAGAACTATAAGATGTGGTCTTGACTCCATTATAAGTAGAGGTCTTGTTTGAGCATATAGTAAATTTAGTGAATGATCATAACTTTAATATAGTGTTAACTACTTTATAGATTATGTAAAGATGTTTGTAGTTTAACATTGTAAAGAGTAGCAACATAGTTAATATATACACTAAGTTAGGGGATTCAAAATCAGCTATTAGAACTGCTGTTAGATAAGTGTTGGTCATGTATTTGTAGAAAATTGGAGATGGAGAATTATTGGTTTAAATCTTGTAGTTTCCAAACAAGAATACTTTTTACAAAGAAGAATCCTTAGATCTACTCATTGATCTAGTTTAAAGAAATAAGATGCTGGTAACCTGATTCCTCAATATGCAGCTTTCGCAATACCTAGAGTTGGCCATCAAAGAAGTGGCTCCTTTCCTTGAAGACCAGAAATAGAAACTCCGCTCTAAAACCATTGAAACCCTAACTCAGTTGGCCACAATCAATCAGCCCTTGACTAAGCGAGTGTTTTAATAACTTGGTATTACTGAAGATCTCTTTAATCAAATTGATGTTAGTACAGCATCTTCAAACAAATCTGATCTTCCACAATTTCGATTCAAAAAAGAACAAAGAGATCCAAAGGAATAATATGCATAATCTTTTCCTGAACCAAAACATCAGTAATAATTTGATATACCCATTTTTCAATCATAATAACAAGGATATGTACCTACTATTATTTCCCAACCTTAGAAATAATAAAGAAGTGCTTAAAAAGCTGAATCTCATCCTTAATCTTCCAGTATTGAATTCAGATAAGCTCAATAAGAATAGGAATATAGTCAACCACCAGCTACTCAATAAAGTAAACCATTTAGAATAGTTAAAAATCCTTAATAAGACATTCCAGATCAAGATACTGGTCTTACTTATACTAAACCTTTCTAAAGAAAACCAAAGGGTGAAGCTGATAAAACATTCCAACCAATTTATTTGGATTCAGTTTAGCCCTTAGATTAACCAGAATCAGTTTTAAAAACCTTATTAAATGAATTAAGATATGATGATTGGAATAGATAATTTGAAGCTTTAAACAATCTTAGAAGATTGGCTAAACATAATACGGAATTACTCAGAAAATCAAACAATTTTCCATAAATTTTATAAGAAATGGTGAAATAAATTGAAAATTTAAGAAGTGGTGTTTCTAAAAATGCTTTGATTTCTCTATAAGAATTAAGTGATATCTATAAAAAAGACTTAGATTGTGTAATGGATTAAGCATTATAAAAGTTAATCAAAAAAGCAATTGATCTCAATACATTTATAAGTGAGGAAGTTAGAAAATCAACAATCTCTTTATTGTAAAATTGTAGTGAATAAAAATCTATCTCTCTTATCACTTAAGTTTATTAGAGTAAATCAATAGCTATTAAAGTGAACATATGTTATGCATTAAATAATTTATTAGATCCAAATAAATAACATTTTGAAAAAATGCTTTAAATTCTTTGTCTATATGCTTGTGATCAAGGTTAAGAAGTAAGATAAGTAGCTAAAGAAGGATTACTTAGTTTAATAAATTAAATGGATAAAAGAGAATTAGAATCATTAATCATAAAATTGGCACCTGATGGAGAATGTAAACGTATTATGACTATCATAAATGGTGAATCTACAACAACTTCTGAATTTAGAAAGTTTGGTGCTACTTAAACTAAAGAAGCTAGAACACCAGAATTAAGAAATAGAACTCCAAATACTAAGAAATTATCAGCAGATTTTGAATAAATGCCAAATTATATGAATTAAGCAGAATTAGGAAAGGATTGGAAATAAAAGAAAGAAGCTATTGATTGGCTTTGTAATTTTGCAAAAAAAGAAGCTTAAGCTTTGAATGGTCATAAATACTCCAATAAATTTTTGGATCTCTTATGCAAATTAATAGATGATGGTAATAAGAATATTGCTTTGTATACATGTGAATAGTTCATTCAATTAGTTGAACCACTTAAAGTATTTTTATTACTATAATATAGCTTCCAATCTAAAATAATTATGTTAATATATGGAATGGGGTCTTTAAAGCTGTCTCATCTACAAATAATTAAGTAAGACAATCGGCTGAATCACTATTTCATGAACTTATGATACATATTGACATTCAATATTCATTACCTTAAATTTAACATCTCATATTGTATGGTCCAGCCAAATCTAAAGGCATAGCCATAACAATGTTAGCAAGTACTTATTATTAATAATATAATAAGATTTTGTATAATAATTTTATGATGAGCGACCGTAATTAGTAGTGAAGTATCTTGTACCTTTGGCTAAGAAATTGTAAGAAGAATAGAAACCAGATATTAAAATAGCATCATAGAAATTATTTTAAGCATTGGTTTCTACATGTCCAAACGATGTTGCTCATTTGAAGTTATTAAAATGAATATTATTATTTATTATATTTTTAATTAAATTTACTCATCATATTTGTTCAAAATTTAATTGATTTTCAATAGTTTCTAAATAAATCTTTTAATTAAATTTTTATTTAATCCCAAACGTCTTATTCCCTAAATTAATAAAGAACTCTGGCCATCCATTCATAAATTTAATTAATTCATCTTCTATATATTATATCCTCATTATAGCATCTAATTTGAATTACTCTTGATTTTCCTTACTCATAAATATATTTAATAATTCTCCTTGAAAATAGTAATCCAATCTTTCTACCAATATTTTAGCCTCTTAAACAATTTCATGTTCTTCTTTATCCTTTTATCCACTCTCTATTAATGTTTACAATACTTGAATCATAGCTGGTTCATTATCCAAGAAATATTCCTCTGTCAAATATCTTATATGAGTATGACAAGATAATTAAATAAATCCTTTAGATACTAAACTAGAAGAATCCATATAAATAACTCTAAAAGATTATACTATACAATCATATTTGATGATATCTCTATATTTCCTCTCTTCTGTATATTGTCTTGGTTATATTTCAATAACATTTCCTAATGCAATACCCAAACATTAATCTTCAGCTTCTTTATTATCATTTTTTGTAACCTCCACAAACATAGGATCATTAGATCTATAATCGCATCCACCAGTGTTGTAATACTTATTCTATTTTTTTACAGTCTCATAGATCTTTACTATTATTTCTCCTGGACCTCCAGTATAATTACGTAAATCATTTTAAGCTAAATCCCAAGGAGGTCTATAAAGATTCCTTTTAAAAATATTAGTAGAATTAGGATCTGCTTTAGGTTTTGCAAATTTAAAACAATTAATATTTCCATCAGAATTAGGGAAACCTTGTATTCTACATTTCCCTTTGAAAGTTTTTCTTCCAGGCAAAGTATAACCATCCACAATAATTTTAATACCCATAACTTCATTTTTATCATTGTGTTCTATTAACATATTGAAATGTTGATCAGCTTATCCAACAATACATATACCTTCAGGAGTCATAATATGTTAATATTCAAATTATTTTCCTTTCACTTTTCTATATGGATCAAAAAATCTAAGTTGAAATTGCTAATCATTTGAATGTACCATTAAAATTTTATATTGATAATGTTTGCCAAAAAAAGATTTAGATATATTTGTAAATAATCAATGTTATATTTTGCTATTTTAATATGTTTACTTTTATTAAATTAAAAGAGTGTTAATTAAATTGTGTTTTAACAAAAAATGTAGATGTAAATGATTGCAATGATGAAATATAATTATATTATATTAATTTTCATATATATATTGAGAAACGGATAATGAAATCATTTATCTTATTAGGATTATTGTCCCTCACTTTTGCAGTGAGTATTAGTAATCAAGGCACTTTAACAAATCCAACATCAAGAGTTGAAAGAATAATGACTAAATTTATGCAATTAAGTGAAATGAGTACACAATTTAACTTTAATAAACTTTTCGATGCAATTGACTAATTGAGTGCTTAATTAAAAGTACCTTAGTATAAATTATACTGATAGTAATCAGAAGTAGATGAGAACAATTTATTTGATGCTGATTTTGCTTAATATGTTGAGGATTAGGCATTTTATACAGATTTGGTTACTTTCTATACAGCTGAAGTAGCTTAACATACAGAGGATCTAAGATCTTTGAATAACCATTTGGAATCATATTAATAATAATTGACATAAAGATAAGAGGAATTAGATAAAACTCAAAAATAAAAAGCATAATTAGAAGAGACCATTAGATAAAATGAAATTACTTATAATAAATAAATTAGTGATTTCAATACAGCAATAGATGTTTTAGATTAAGCTATTTAATTATTGTCTGGTTTAAGAAGTAATTTCATAATAATATGAGTAGATCCTGTTTTAATCTAAACTGAATCAGATTAACTTAAGACATTAGCTAATAGATTAAATTCAATCAATTTAAAGAATCATAGAGTATTATATTAACCAATAATTGATATCTTTATGTAAATTGCATAAAATAAGTATCAATATTATATCATAATTAGTTTGGCTAATTAAGATCTCCTCAAAAAGGTGCTTAGTATGTTGAATGGACTTAGAAACTCATTAGATGGAGGAAGAAATGCATTAACTAGCAATTACAATAGTGAAAGAGCTTCTAATTTAGAATTATTAGAGACTTACAATAAAAAAATTGATGCTCTTGTTAATGAAGTCATTCCAATGTTGTAAGATTTGATTGCTAATACAATTGGTATTTATATATTTGATTACTTTTTTTTATAGAATAAATTAAGGTGAAGACTGAATTATTGAACAATGCCTAAGCAAATTTGGATGAAGCAAAAGAAACTTTATAATATATTGAAGATAGATGGGTTAAAAGAAAGGCTTAACATGCAGCATTGTTAGCAGAATATGAGAAAGAATAAGCACTTATAGCTTAAACTATAACTGTTTTGCAAAGAGGTGGTGTAAGAAGATAATGATTTAAATTTTATTTTATTTCACATCGGAGGCATACTCATTCCTGCAGGCATCATAGTTTATTACCCAGGTAAACCCATTCCCTTAGGTTATGAAATCAAACCAATATTTGGTGCTCCTGTTACTCCTTGTCTTGTTATTGGTTAGGCTTTTCCTGGTCCTGGTTATAATTCTTATTTCTTTGGAGGTTAATGAGGAGGGGCTTCAGCTGATAATGATATTATATTATCGCCTCTTACGATGATCATTCCCAAAGTTCTTTTGGTTTCGATTTCATGGATTCCTACCTTACAATTAACTTCTACCTTGCTTTCTTATTCTGTATTCTTCGCATTCACTCAGAATCACATTCAAATGTTTGTCAAAAGCTAAAAAGGTTCCAACCAACATACGTCCATCACCTAAAGTAATACGAACTCTGTAATCAATCCATTAAAAAAATTTGCTTTTCTAAGACATATTTTAATATATTTTTTAATATATTTATATTAGATAATATATATAAAATATACTTTAATTAAACATAAATCACCGCTTAAAACAAAAATTTCTAATCTCTTGAAATGCATATCTGTCTGGTTCTTAAAACATTTATTATACTGTTTATTAGGCTGTTTTCTTAACATTAGGAGTAGATTAATTTTAAGAATTCTCCTTTTAAATAACAGTCTATATTCCAATTGAATTCATTTATTTTGGCTTTGGAATCTAACTAATCAGAAACATTAATCCTGCATTAATCTACTCCAACATCTCCTAATCTTTCTCTCTTTAATTTAATAAATAATCCATCTTCTATTTTAATTCAGTCTAAAAAATTAATGAATTCACTTACTATTTCATTATTGTCTTAAGATTAATTTTATTAAAACTTCTATTAAGATTCCTTAACAGGTTTATCAGTTCTCACAATAAAATCACTTAAATTTTCTGATATACTAGAGTGCTTTGACTATTCTCTTTATAAACTAAATTCATTAGAATTGCCAAAATTATTTAACTAAGGTTTTTCTTTTTAGGTTTCTCTAAACTCATTCCAATTATCTGATTCACTAGTTCTATTGGTTTTCATTAAACCATTATTTGTTCTATTTGTCTTTACTAACCTTATATTCATTACAAATTACTTTTCTATTACAAGGCAGAAATCAAATTAATGATCTAATCTTCATTATAATTATCTTATTCTTCATCAGAACTCATTTGTTTGTCGTTAAAAATATAAATTAAATTATAAATAATAATTATTATATGCTATTTATAAATTTTCATTTCTCCTCTTAAATAACTCTTAATTTACTTATTTATAATGTATCTAATTCATTTTGTGTTGTCTAATTTGATTATACTTAATTCTGGATAAGAAATTGATATAATATGATTTATATATATTTAATAAAACATAAAAATAATTGTAAAGAATCAAAAATCAATTTATTTAATTAATTTTATAAAATGATATATTGATTAATAATATATTTTCAATTATTTTTCCATATTATCATCTACATTTTCTCTTTTATTTACAATATAATCTAATAAAAATATAAATGAAATTAGTTATTAAGATGATAAGTTGTAAAGAAACTAAATTTATATCTTTTTCAGTTGAAAAATTAATTTCAATAACAATTTATGATACATTGTTACTCAACTTTAAATAAGCAGTTTTAGTACATTATTATTAGCATTAAAGTCTTAATTTGTCTATTGTAAGTAAATGAACTTAATGATAATATTCCTTGATTCTTTCAACTACAACAAAATGTGTTGTATTGTATCTTTCAATAGCTGTATAATTATTATCCTTCAACTTTTAAATGCTATCAATATTTTTAGTTTTTGATAATATACTAATATCAAATACATTGATAAATATATTTTAATCAAGTTCAAATGCTAAAATTATATGATTGTTATCAATAAAGAGTGACTATTTAAATGATACATCTTTTTCATATCGTATTATTCCTTATTATTCAAATTAAATCTAATCTAAATTATTTAGATCTAATATCATTCTCATTAACAAAGCTAAATGATATTTAAGAAAAACTATAAACTTGATTTCAATCTGATTGTTATTCTTGATGGTCTAATAGATTTAAATTAACATAAAGTCAACTTAATGGAATGAAGGTGAAATATTAGGAAATAAGTTATTTAATTCGTAACTTTTATTGAAAAATATATTAGCAAAATATACATCATCTTCTATTTTGGTAAAATTTATAAATATCAATTCAAACTACATTTATTTTATGTTGAAAATTAAGTAAGTAAAATTATTAATTTTGATGCCATCTAATAAGTCAAATTAAACAAATTGGAAAGTATCTATAAGGTTTTAATTAAAAATTGGCTTATTTTAAAACATGATAAAGTACAAATCTTTTAAATATCTAAATATTTATAAATCATAGATTTGTTTAAAATTTATGAATTCTAAAATAAATTTAAATATTACAATCAGTTTTATTTAAGATTTTGTATTTCTAGAGTAAAATTTAATTTTAATCGCTAAAATTAAATTGACTAATTATTAGTGCACCATTTTCTTATGTATAAATTGCATGATTAGAATCATCTGGATTATATCCAATATAATAAACTTTTGACTTGATATCTTAAGAATATAATATAGATGTGCTTTAACCAAAAATATTTCTTATTATTTATGATCTATTTACACAAATACCAAATCTGTAATACTCACATATAACAGAATAATTGTTAAATATAAGTGGTAAAATAACTTAAATATTATCTGTTCCAACAATCTCAACAGTCTCAATATTTCCAAAGATATTCTCAATTTTAATAATATTCCCTTTCAATATACTTTAATTCAAATTTAATTATTATAATCGATAATTTTTATTAATATTAATAAGATGGAATTCTAAATCTATATTTTAGTTGCTTATTTAAGAGTAAGTAGTAATTTTAAGTGGTTTATCTTATATAAAATCAAAACTGTCTTAAGATAAATTGAGCAGAAAGCATGGTTAATCCAATTTTTAAATATAAAATTATTCTTGAAATTAAAAGTAATATTCATTTTCATTAGCAAAATCAAATTGATATCTTTCCTCTTCATCAATTTAAGTAATTGAAATTAAGGATTCAACTGCTGTTTATAAAATATCATATATCAATATATAGAAACTTTAATTTAAACTTTGAGCTTTTATCATTACAATTGACTTTTAAATTCTATATTAAAATGGGAATAAGATAGAATAATTATATGTAGGAAGAGTGTAAAGTTTAAACAATTCATCTTAATAAACTCGATATAATTTAACATATTATTAATTATGATAACAAGTGAATAATAAAAGATAATCAGCAAGTACATTTCTTACTTCAATAACCTACTCTTTTAATGTTAATTTATGAATGTAGGAAGATTTAAATTTGAACTATATAGTATAATTGTTAATATAAACATCATCCTTAATAAATTATAGGGAAGTTTTACAATCAAATAAATACTTAGTTTATTCAAAGTCAAACTTATTTTAGAAAAGTTTAATCCCAACCTTATTACAATCTTCAAGTAAATAATAAACAATAAAATTTAATTACATCGCCTTAATTATCATTATTCCAGTTTAATATATTCTCTTTTATATGTCATCGAATTTTATTTCGTAAATTTCTATCGACTGTTAATAAACTATTGTTATTAACATGGCTTATCTATTAAAAAATATGTCGATTAAATTTGCAAATAGCAGAAATTTATATATTTTTATAGCTTAATTATTTTAAAAAAATAACAATTTCATAACAGTACTCCCTTCAATTATAGCTAAAATCATTTTATCATCTTTGAATTTATGTATAAATAGAAATTTGCTAATAGAGGAGATTCCGTGTAAATTAGATAAAATCTATAATCTGTAATGTTCTACTGTTATTTATTTCGAATCATTCTCTATTATCTAATTTATTTTAAAAGGAAGTGCTCTTTAATATCTTTTATAAGGTAAGCATATTGTTTCATTGCTCCTTGTAGAGGTAATCATCTGATAATACAATACTGTATCCTAAAAGTATTAAATTGGATTATTTTAATCAAATAATTTTAGATGAATCACTTTACTAGGAGATTAACTTGACTTAGTATAAATTATTAATTATTTATCAGAATTTTTATAAGATACAAAAGATTTAGGTAAGATTAATTAAATTAGCTTTAATTACTAATTTGATATTAACATAAAATAGGGTAATTCACCAATTTTAATACAGTTTTTACTGTTGATAGATATTCTATTTGAGTAATAATTTTTGAATTTAACAAATATCTTATCTGTAAAGTGAAACACATAAAAATATTTTTTGATAAAAAAAACATTTTGAAACCCTTCACTACTGAAATTCAATTATTCATAATTCAAATACAATTATTAATAGTCCAAATCTGCTTCAACCAATGTTTTCAAAGATGGTCCATTAAAAGTTTAAAATATTTTAATTTAAAATCCTGGATTTTAACTTAAATATGTTATTTACTTTGTTTTGATTAAAAGAAGACATATAAAATCGATGTATGCTATAAATAGATCACCTAAAGAGCTAAACTAAATATCAATAAGTTGTGATATATTTTTAGAAAATCCATCTACCTCTAATAAATCATATTTAGTAAGATTTAAAAATGATAGATTCGATATTGAAATAGAATAAAATAGTGTAGTTTAACATAATTTATTAAATATGATTAATGTTTGATTATTATTAAATATTGAATCAGATTAACAATTTGATTGAATTGGAATAATCATTTGATCAAATATTTATGATTAATTAAGAATTTAAATAATAGTATTAGTTGAATTATAATTACATTAAATTATATAAATGAATTAATCTAATTTATATAATTTTATGCAATCTTATTGATTTAATAATATTTAACAATCCTTTTATTTTATTATTATTTCATCATCTTAAATGTAATTATCTATTTCATATAAACATTAAATACTACCATTCTTTAATAAAATTATATCAATATTATTATTAATATTATTATTATTATTATTATTAT